TGTGTCTATATATTTTTTTTCCCCTCTGTATATATATATATATATATATATATATATATATATATATATATATATATAGTTTCAGACCTGCCTTATTTTGTTGTCATTTTGTATAAGAGAAGTATTCAAAAAGTAGCAAGATTTCATATTGGCCACATTCACACAGCAGCAGAATGCAGTTGTCTGTCCTGTATTTGAGTCCTTAATATGGTTATGTTAACCCATAGTACAGTTATTTATGGGAGTGACAACCGCATTCTACAACCTAACTCACACCTGCAAATTTTCAGAACTCACAATCACATTCTCGGGAAAAAGCTGTGCTCTGTGAACGGCACAGGACTGGACAAATAGTTGTCTGTCACTGCAAACAGTGTGAGAGAGATGCTCTGCTGCACAAATGCGTGTCTAGCCTGTGTTGTGGGTTTTCAGGTGTGGTTTCGTAAAGTTACAGAGACGCAGATATGAGCTGTGTGTCATCTGAAGGTTCAGATCCTGTCACTGTTCTCTACCGGAGCTGCTTCCATCAGTTTTGTGTTCTATGGGCGACACAAATGCTCCGCTCTCCACCCAAACATAAAAGCTGCTGTCAGATAATGAAGATTTGACAGATGATCTCGCAACTCGACTGAACTCTTGTCATGTCAAAAAGTGATAAGACTCTTCAGTTTTTTGTACATTGTCGTCTTTGATATTACTTTGGTGACTGCTGACGCTATGGTTACTGGTAAGTATTACGGGCTTGACTCCCATTGCACGTTCATACAGTTTTCGAGACACTACTGTATGGCACTGTGTGAATGGGACATTTGAGTCTCACACCTGTAAGTAAATGCAGCTGACAATCCCCAAAACTGACTGAACGCAGCCAAAGTATTCTGAATATGGGTCAGACTCCACATGAAATCTGTTTCCACAGAACCCTGCAGATTTAAGCAGAGTAGCAACACCGTGATTATGGTAAGTTCTCTACATATCCTCTGCCTCATCCATATGCATTAAAAAAAATTTTTTTGGCTAATTTGCTCTCAGATTGTCCGTCTGGTTAGGACACAGTATTATGTGGCTTCAGTAAGCAACAAGAGTGTTGTCCTCTCCATTTAAAGGGGTCCTATTATGCTCTTTTACAAAGTCTTGATTTTGTTTTGGGGGTGTACTAGAACATGCTCTCATGCTTGGGGGTTCGAAAAAACACATTATTTTTCACATAATTTACATTATTAAAATACCTTTCTCCCCAGCCTGGCACAAACTGCTCGATTAGTTCCGGCTTTGATGAAGGTCCGCCTTCCGAAAAACAAAATGTGTTGTGATTGGTTAGCTGTCCCAGTGCGTTGTGATTGGCGAACAGCTTAGACGGTGTTTCAGTACTGCCACGCCCCTTGCTTTGTCTGTCAACAAAAGCTTTTGGCGAATCCGGCACTACTCACTCGTGTTGTGGAAGCTGTCCTCAGTAAAATGTGCAGCACACAATAGCAAATTGGGGTTATAATGCTCAGGAACAGAGTTAAAAAGTAAATTTCAACCACTGTTTCCTGACATCATTTGCTTTCAGAAGCCCAAACAGAGACGTTTGGGCACGGAAGTGAAAAAAGTTTCAGGCGGTCGCACACCGGACGAGAAACGCAGCATCGCGCCACATCTTTAAAATTAAAATACATTATTTTCTATGAGTGTAGGCACACCAGCGGCATCGTTCGGCGTCCGGCGCCCAGCTACGTCGTGTTGTACTTGTAAGAATTTTTCTAGACCAGCGGTTCTGAATTCCAGTCCTCGCGTACCATCGCTCTGCATGTTTTGCACGTCTCTCTTTGTTAACACACCTGATTCAGATCATCTCGTTAGAAGTGAGCTCCATGCATGAACTGTGTTCCGATTGACATGGTCCCTACACAGTGTCCATTGCTCCCTACTCCCTGAGCAGGGGAAATCCATTGAAGCTGACTTCACTTCGGAATATTCATTTACAGATTTGAGCTGCGCCGCTGCCTGCAGCGTCTTCACACACATACGAAACTTACTAGAGAAGCGTGAAGTGGGACATAATATACCTCTGTAAATAAATAAAATTAAAATTCACGTCTCGCACACTTAAATGCCCTTTGTATGGAACATATACACTCCCTTCAAACTGGAATCATGGAGGAATATCCGGTAATGTCCACTTTGGAGGGCACTTACAGTCAAATATAACAAACGTATGAAGCAATAAGAGAAACATAAAAAATGTGCAGAGCGGGGGTACGCGAGGACTGGAATTGAGAACCGCTGTTCTACACATGCCAAAAATTTGACGCTACAGCACAGAAGCTCTTCTTCTTGGTTTTCTCTGATGCACTAACTCTGCAGCAGCTCTTCTTCTTCGTTGTCTCGTCTCATGCACTCACTCAACCAAGCTCTCTAACCACAACCTCGCCCCTCCCCACCATTCGAATTTCTGTAGGCGGGAATTATTTGTAATTAAATTAGAATGAGCCGCTTTGTGATATCACAAAGCCCGGAAACAAACGCTGTAGTCCAAGCCGTTCATTTTAGTTCTTGAAAAGGGATTTTTAAAAAACGAAATATCTCCCTTTGGAGTGGACTTTGAGATTTGTAACTTTCTAGATCTTTTTAATGCCCAAACATACACACTACACAATGACTAAAATTAAAAAAGTGAAAAAGCATGATAGGACCCCTTTAACACATTTTACTACCCTATAATCTGTTCTACAGAATCCTATATTTTCCCCCAAAGTCAGAGCATAAAATGGGAAAAGTCTGCAGATTCCATCTGGGCCTATACAGTTAAGCTTATTTTCTACCCAGTCAACACGTGAGATCATGCGATGATCACAGTGACATCACACGATCCTCATACTGTGATCCTCACGGTGTGAGTAGTATATGAAATCTTTGTGAGTTAACACGATCCCCATACTGTGATCCTCACGGTGTGAGTAGTATATGAAATCTTTGTGAGTTAACACGATCCTCATACTGTGATCCTCACGGTGCGAGTAATACATGAGCTCATTATGAACTCAAACGATCCTCACACTGCGATCCTCACGGTGTGAGTAGTATATGAAATCATTGTGAGTTCAAACGATCCTCGTACTCTGATCCTCACGGTGTGAGTAGTATGTGAGCTCATTGTGAGTTTTAAATTTTGAGCAGGTTGAGAGAAGGCAGTTCAAATCTAAAAAAGTTAATATTTAATAAACAAAACAAGCGAAAACAAAACAGAGCACAAACAT